TTCCACCCAGTGACCTGCTAACATAGGTGAATCATCAAGAGGATTACATCAACAGTGGGGTGCATTTTGGATTTTTTTAAAATCTATCCACATATACAATACTAATTTTTTGATAGTACCAAGAATTAAGTACTAAAAGAAGAACTGAGGCTTTCTGAAAATAAAATGAGGAAGATGAAAGATGGGCATGGAACTGCCAGAAATGAATTCATATAGCAATTAGTATTTTGTATCTGGCCACTGTTTCTATATTTTTCAGTTCATTGTTCTGGAACATTGACAGCTCCAGTGTTTTCCCTGGAGGCATGTCATTGTTTCAGATGAATTACTGGCTGAGATCCTGCATCACATTGGCAGACTGTAAAGCTCCACCAAGCATAACTGCATGCCATATATATATATATATATATATATATATATATATATATCTGTTCCTGACATGGCAGCCAGCAAAAGGCATTGTCCTGGACTGCCAGAGGACTCCCAGGAGGATGTGTTTGCCCTCCTTTGGGCAGCTGTAGGAATGACTGCTCCTCATTCTGCTTCCCCCCATCCTACCTGGCCATTGAATGGCTTTGGGTGGGTGTATTCAGCCCACCTTCACGTGTAGGTGGCTTGGGGAGGAAGCTATAGTAGATGACGGTGCTTAATGCCTCCATCTGTCCTGACAAAATAAAGTTTGATATGGAGGTGTAGCTTAGTTAGTAGCTACTAACATGATGCCAGCCACTGTTTTTGAGTTGTGGAAAGCATTTGTAAGGGGGGGAAACTACAGGTAAACCACAGGATCTATTTTAAAGTTTTGTATTAGAGATGCCCACCAGGTTGAAATGTCTTGGTTTGGAATATGAATTTTCCCATTTGAAATGCTCGTTGTTATTTTCCTTACAGTTTTTCTACCATTTGAGAGGCAGACGGGCTGCTTGTGGGACTGGATCCAGGTTTGTTTAAGTGGAATGGGGCTGTTGGCCCTTTGCAGGCCCAGGACCGCTGCAACCACCTTCTGAGGAAATGCCAAGATAACAGACTAAAAGTTGAGTTCAGACAAAGCTGGAGCACCAGCCCTGGGTGGTACATCTGCATCACCTTACTGGTGTTCAATGAACTCTGAATGGGACTGCACTCCAGATTCTCCCCAAAAGGACTAGGTTCATTGTCCTAGAATATTCTGTCACCTGTCTTTTTCACTAGAATCACTTTTGTGGCTGACAGTACCCCATACTAGTTAAGGCTGAGGCTAGCAGTATACTATGACCAAGTAGATTTGCTAGTCATCCATGTCATGATGTTTGTATCACTGTTGTTACTGTGTACCTTCAAGTCATTTCCAGCTTATGAAAACCCTAAGACAGGGGTAGGCAACCTTTCCCCTTTAAGGGCCGAGGGACTTCAGCTCCCAGAAGCCTTAGCCATGTTGGCCAATAGTCCCATGTTAGCCAATAGCTCCTGGGATTCTGGGAGCTGAAGTTCCTCGGCCCTTAAAGGGGAAAGGTTGCCTACCCCTGCCCTAAGACAAAGTTATCATGGGTGTTTCTTGGCAAGATTTGTTCAGAATGGGGTTTGCCATTACCATCCTCTGAAAGAGTGTGACTTACCCAAGGCCACCCAGTGGATTTACATGGCCAGGCCAAGATTTGAACCCTGGTCTCAAGAGTCCAGAGGAGCAAGGCAACATAGGGCAGGGAGAGAGTTAGCAGAAACTATAGCAGAAGCTTCTGTGTTTGTTTAAAGTACTAGGAGGTTTCCCCAGAGCTCATTTATGGCGAGTAGTGGAACTAGAATAAAGGAATCATAGAACATTATCACACGTGGGCCAGAAAGTGAAAATAAAGTGGAAATGAGGC